TGAGGGTAATAAACCTACTTCCAACTGAGTTATCCCATGGATTTGCGCGAACCGCTGTCCAGTGACCGGTCGGCCAACTTTGACATGGTCGCGGCCCTGCTAGTCGAACACACAGAGGGCATGTCTAGGAAATTAGACGTGCTTGTTGACAGTAACCGTCGGTTACATAATCGAATACGCGAATTGCAGGCGCGGGGTACTCAACGACAACCCGCCGGTCACTTGGTAACCCCGCTGCCGAAGAACCCGCTAAAACGCCGATGAGGACGTCAGCGGAAGTCCGCTATTGGAATGCCTTACTTAAGGACACTGGAATACGGAGTCAACTGGCAGCTGTCAGTTTTATCACTATACAGAGCATCAGGTCTCATTCCTCACGTGCTTAGATGAAAACAACTTGGACGACTTCGTTAAGCGCATCGTGCTTGCGAGTTTTGCGGACGAGATTAGCCTCCACGTGAATTTTATGGGGCGTAAACTAAAAGACAGCCTCAGTCGGAGGTTAATGGTCATATTAGGTGTGTTTCAATTCAGTGTCCCACTGTCTACATATGTAGATGTTTTCGCTGCTTAGAACAGTAATGGCGCTGCGGAGCTATCCGATCTGGAGCCTGCGTTTACGGACCGACTCAAAAGGTCATTAGACAATTACGTTCAGCAGATTCAAAAGGACAGTGACAGGAATAACTGGACGGATGAGTGGACTTCAAGTTTTATAAGATTAACCCTATCCTATTAAAAACAATACGGGACGTTCGGCAGGAGATCGTCCTGCATCCTCGCAAGTGCCACCAATATATTTAATCTTTTAAAATTGTTTAATTCAATAAAAATATTCCAAGGTAATTGACCACTGTTGGCATAGTCGCGTCAATTTGGTCATTCAACCAAAGCATACAGTAACGGACTTAGTAGGACAGGAATGGGATGACAAATGTAATTTGAAAGCGAAAGAATAATGTACGGGTACTGGGTTAAGTAAACGCAACGTGTGCAGTGCCTAAGGTCTCGCTATCGCCATTTCCGGAGTATCTCGGAAAATAGACATCTACTGGATATCCGGACGGCAGAAAAAATCGGCATGTACCGAATATGTCTCGAAAAATAGATATCTACTTGATATCGTCTCGGTATAGTTTGCTACTAAGGACAGGTAATAGACCGCGCTCCATTGCTCATATATTGTGCCATTCTCGGAAGTCTATGCGTTTCACAATATACACGGAACCCAAGTCGTAAACAACAGACACTCACATATTCTGGATCTTCGACAAACTCTTTCATTGACTTCAAGTACTTCAGGTAATCACATCCATCGTCCAGATAAATGCCGTAATTATAGCACTCAGGGACACCGGGGATAAGGTTTTCCGCCACATTAACACTGCGACCTTTTTGGACGGCATTACGGAGATCTTGATTCTGCTTGTCAGTCTCAATTTCGACAGTAAATAAAGCGATTGACAAACCATCTTCGACCGTCACGTGTACCAGGAGACCGACTCAAGTAGCCCGCCATCAAATCCCGAGAGTTCGAAGTTAATGAAGCTCGCGGTTTTGAATGTTCAAGTTAGTGTCTCCAAAGTACTTAAGTGTTGGCTCCCTTCCTACAAATGACTGTCAGAATATCGAGTAAAGCTAGATGTTGTAGTTTTTAAGGTTAGTCACTGAGAGGTAGAAGTGTAACATTTATGCGGTAATTAGTGACCACAAAATATCCCACCACATTCCTATTAAAATGAGCTCCGGTCCGGAATCTGAGCTATGAACTTTAACTCCTAGTAGGACTATGTCAAGCGATCGGGATTACTGAGGTTATCGGGATTATTGTTTAGTTTTACAGCTCTGAGGGACCAGTAAGGTTTAAGAAGTGAATGGCAAATCTCGAGACAGTCTGCAAGTTTATGCTCCATGTATACTCACTCTACATCACTTTTTTGTTGTAAATGGAAGGAAATATGAAGCGCCACTAATATGGATACCACTGCGGCACTATATGTGAGCACATTAAGCGAGACATGTAGGCTTACTATGTCGCCGTTGATGAGCCTCAGCGCTCGGTCCCATCAATATCATATGCTGCGGAAGATGATTTGCTCGAAAGGCAAATGCCTGTATTGAGTTTAGAAGTTTCTACGGCTCGATTTTTACGTGTGTGGCCAAACAGTAGGTAGAGAGTCGGTTGAGGAAGCGGGCAGCACAAACCCACTGGGAGGCACTTGCTTTCTGAATGACTTGCAAGAATTTTATCTTGATGTGTAACTGCCGCTTTCCTTTAAATATGTATATTTAAGGGTAGTATACAGTGCCTTTGAAGAGACTATCGAAAACAGTACATACAGTATTTGGAGCCAAATAGACATGTTTGTAAAATGTTGTCAATAACGGATACATTTTACAGAATATGGTTTTTGTAGTTGCGGGACTGAAACCCGGAGCACACTCTTGTGCACGGTAATGATAAAATGAAATGACAATCATCCGCATCATCGGTGGGTGAGCCCAAAGCGTTGGTTTGGTACAACAGAACTGTTTTGTCAGTCAAGCGGTATTTTTCAATCATATATACATGCAATCCGCCATTGTCACTTTCTGAGGAAGCCCGTTCCAGGCACCGAAGGTGTATTGTGAAAACGAGTGCTTGAGAACATTTAGGTGGAGTAGACTTCCTCGAGGTTTTAGGGAGGTCCCACGCAGGTTTGTTATTCTGGCCAAGACGAAGGAATCACAGAAGTGCAGCGCACATTCAGGATTCCTCCCAATCCGGCAAACCTGTATGGGATTCCCTCAGATCTGCCTTTAGTCAAGAGGAAAAAAGTAAAGCTCATCAGGTCTACAGCCCTAGGATAAAGTCCTGAGGACTTTCCCAATTTTGGCCGCTCTCCTCCGAACTCTTCTCAGCAAATTACAAGTCTTTTTCAGACAGGGACACCATGCCTGTATTCCATATTGCAGTTCCAACCAAATAACGATTCCGTATACTTCTCCAAACTGCTCTTTGTCTGTATCTATGAAGGTTCTTTTGATAGCGAAGAGAACAGCGTTTGCCCTTTGAGCGTCCTAGCACGTTGAAAAGAGGGCTTAAGAGAGGACAAAATGCTGATCCCAAGGTCCTTCCTGGTCGGTTAAATTTTAAAGACGCCTTCTGTCAATGCGGTAGTGGTGACCTTCTCCATTTGCTCTCTTCATGGTTTCGATTCACAATGCGACACACTTCTCAAAGTCAAACTTTAGCAGCCATCTTTCAAACCATTCATATAGGCGGTTAAGTCCTTCTTGCAGGGTCCATTTATCGTTTTCGTAGTCGACTGCTCGCCATAATTTTATGTCATCAGCAAATATGACGCCAATGCAGTCAAGTCCATCCATATAGTCATTGACATAATTTAAAAACAGTACTGGTCCGAGTACGGAGTCCCGAGGTACCCCACTCACATCTGACACTGGCACTGACTTCGTACTGCCAATTTACACAGACTGCGATTGGCCGGTCAAGAAATCCTTTACCCAGTTAAGTAGGTTCCCCTCATCCCAGATTTTCGGACTTTGTAGAGCAATCGGCAGTGCGGAGCAACATTAAAGGCTTTCCTTAAGTCGAGGTAAACGACATCGACTCTTGTGTCTCCATCTAATAGGCGGGATCACTGGTCCATTAAGCAGAGCATGTTTTTTAAACAGGTGTGATTCTCCAAAAGTCATGGTGGGAAATATCAAAGAAATCCTCTTCTTCTGAAAACTTTATAATATCTTTTTTGACTATTCTTTCCATACCTATGCAACAAATACGCGTTAGGCTCACCTGCCGATAATCGTTTGTACTTGTTCTGGATCCACTCTTGCAAATGGGATATATATTCGTAATCATCCACTCAGAGGGGAGAGGACCTCGGTCAAGGAACGAATGGGAATTGCACGAAAGCGGTCAAGCGAGTTGGCAAGCCAGCTCCTCTAGAACTTTTGCAGGAATCTGGTCAGGACCCGGGGACTTAGATTACTTAGGCGCTAAAGTTCGTTTTTCACATCTTCTTATGTGAAGACGATGCTTTCCGCCATTTCGTTAGTTGTTCCATTAGGCAACCCAGCCTCGTCAAAGTCCGTTTCATCGGTGAAAATGGCTGCGAAAAGCCGGCAAAGATGTTCTGTCTTAGCGTCATTTTGATGACATCTTCATTATTTTCTCCTTTTAACACTGAGACCGTTTCTTCGTTTTTATCTTCCGTTGATGTAGCTGGAGAGTACGTCTAGCTTATGCGCGGCCCGTTCCATAACTTGCGCTTTATATTCCTTGCGCGACCTGCGAACATTTAACCTTATTTCATTTCGCTTTCGGCGGAACTGCTTATAATGCAAAAGTTGTTTTGTTGTTACATACGTTCTCCAAAGTTTAATCTTCCGGTTTATCTCCTTCCATATATGTCATGTTAACCAGACAGGATGGTTTGCATTGTAGGCTGTCATTATCGGACAATTTAGATGCATAAGGTTACATATAACTCCTTTGAAAGTGTTCCAGTCAACACTTAGATGTTCGGTAAGAACGTCGTTCCAGTTCACTACCGATAATTCACTTCGTATCAGCAAAATTTCCCTTCCCGAAAATCAGCCAAGGTTCAGTCGTCTCCATTTGTTAATCGTGTTATCAATATTCCCACACCAGCATAACACGGCCACTCTTACCGAGTGGTGCTATGGACCTAAGTCCGCCAGCACTAACTGGCTGTTTAGTTTGCTCTTTGAGCCTCTCTGCTTCTGGATGGAAACGTGAGGAGGAAGGGAATAGTTGTTGGTTTTAAGGGCTTGGAATAAAGGAGTTTACGCAAACTCTTTACTAATGAGTCGTTCCAGTCAATCATGGCTGCGTTCAAGTCTCCGGCTATCAGTGTCTCTTGGTTTTGCGTCACCTCTTTAATCAACCCGAACATCGCCCCGTTAATATCCGGAGTTTGATTGAGCGGCCTGTATATAATCAGGAAATTCAGATTACGTGTGCCACGCCTCCTTCAATTCAATTGCTTCACAGTTAGGGGAGCAGTCATTTTTGCGTTCTGACGCGATGATTCCTCTTTTGACATAGATCGCTCCTCCTCCTCCTCCTCCTCCTCCTCCTCCTGCTCCTCCTCCTCCTCCTGCTCCTGCTCCTCCTCCTCCTCCTCCTCCTTCTCTTCAGCAGTAACAGTGCTTGGTCCTCATTTTAGGGAACAATATCTAATGGCCTGTGTTGTCTCAACCCATCTTTTGAATCCTTGTTTTGTCGTATCCTGAAAGTTTTTGAGACGGTGACGTTTTTTTTCTCTTTGGAAAGGGATTTGAGATATTGCTGGAATAATTCAATGTCCAAGTTTATTCCATTCTTTGGGATGTCCGAATCAGGCTTAGACATACCCTTTACGCTGACGCATTTACAGTGGTCAAGCGGAGGGTCCTGACGTATATTTTTATACGCAGATTCTAAATGACGCCAATTTCTGTTGTCATCATCGTTCGATTCGGAGACACTTGTGGTGATATAGCTGCCACAGAGTTCCTCGCCTACCGAGGCTTCTTGGTCATGTGTCATCTCCTTTGAAGTGAGGCATTTTTCTGTATTGTGAGTTAACCCTGCTTTCTAATACTGACACTCTAGACTACTTGGGCTTTTCAGGAAGATCCGAGAAGTTTCTTCGTTTTCTGAGGTCCCTTTCGATCTTTCTTTTCTCGCACATGAGACCATTTCTCGGCTGTGATTAGGTCAGTAGACGAACTGTTATTTTTCCCAGAGGCATATACAGTTACTAAAGCCGTATATGCATTTGTTCTAATTATCGTCTACATTCCTGATATTGCTGAATTTCTGTCTTCGGATGTATGATGCGGAAGTTTTATCCAATTATTTATCTCAATTCCTGGATGTCCAATCTCCTTCTCCGCCTTTAAGAATTACTGAAGAGGTCCACAGCATGCCACAGAGGTTTCGTCTCCGTATATTAATCCAATAAATTTATCAAACTCCTTGTCCGTTTGGGGGTAGGTGATTTGATAGCGGAAAATCCGACGCAGTTGTCGTCTGTAAAACGTTTAATGCTTATTCTATCATTTTTTAATTCGTCTGCTGTGCATCAGTCCAGTGGTACAGCGGAGGAAACATTTGTGGCATCCCCAGTGCCCAGGGCTGATCCCGGCTCGTGGACGACTTTGCAAATATCCAAAGGGCATTTGTTCGACCTCCATTATTAAGCGAATGAACTTGAAACGCTTAAAACGGTATGGAAAATCTTTTAAACCAGACCAACGGTAGAAGCAAATAGTAAGTAACACAATCATTCTTTTGATTCGCGGGAATCTCGCGATGCTGCTTAGAGAGGAGTGGTCGGAAGGAGATAGGTTTTTCCGACGAAAGTCCAGTTGTAGTCCTGTGAGAATCGAGGTATTGTTAAGACGAATCGATTTCTTAATTTCAGTTACAAAATATAGCATCCACGGAGTTTCCCCCTTTGCGATTTTCGTCATTTTCTTAGGTAACTAAATAATACTCGTGAGGCATAAGTGTTCTTGATGAAAGCTATGTTGAGAATCGCACAATATGTTGATTTTTTCAGATAATCCACTAGATGTTTTCGATAATATGTTCCATTATTTTACGAGTGATGCATGCTAGACTGACTGAGAGGCAATTTATAGAGTCTAACACTGATCCTTCTTTATAGACTGGGGTGATAAACGCATTCTTTTCAGATTTTGAGACGCCGCCTCCATCTAATGACTTTTGGAATATAATAGATAGTAATCCGTACGGTTCATTGGGAGGTCCTCGAGGTGCGAGTGCAAATATTCGGTCCAGACCAAAGGATTTGGCGGGTTTCACTGATGCAGACGAAGTGCAATTTGTTGTTTTTGAACTTCCTTAAAAATTAATTGCTAACTTGAAGCAAATCAGTTAACACTAAGGTTAATAGGCGCAGACCGAAATTTGATGTATGAATATTTGAGTCGAAGTCCATGAGCCACGGGGGGATAGTTGCGTAATATTCATTAACTGCCGGCAGGCAGTTAGTTCTATGCTTTGGCGTCACAGTGTACCATATTAGCAACACGGAGGCTAGCTAAAAGCCCAGACATGCGTGTCCCGCAGATATTCTGCCGCTGCACGTTACAACTACGAGAGGTTCGGCAGCCAATGGGTCCTCCAGCATTCCCGTGTACCTCCTGGCAGACAAGCCAGTTCAGAAATTGTTACTTTTTAATTTCCTCGGAAATCAATTGCTATCTTTGAGTAAATCAATTTATACTAAGCGCAGCTCCTCTGCCAAAGGAAGGAGAGGAGATTTTTTGGTGAACGAGTTAAAAATATGAAAAAGGGACTCACGTGAAAAAACCTGAAGGGAATTGGAAAGAGTGGGTGTTCGTCTAGAAGTCTCTTCGAAACCTAGTAATCTAACTTTTACAAATAGTTCTCAAATGCTTAAATTTTTGTGAGTGTTCTTCAGCGCTGAGTAGTATATAGCCCTTCAATATACGATATACTTTCTAAGAGAGTCCTACAGATCGGAGTTCACCCTCTTCGGACGGTTGGCAGTTGTTTTTCCTCTGAAGGGGAAGCTGCGGGCAACAGCCCTCCACATGAACGAACTGCAAGCCCTTCATAAGTAACTTATCGTACCAAACCATTAAGTTTCCCAAGGCACCACTTAGACTTCTGTTCTCATAAGTGGATAGTCTCCTTTTCAAATGTTTCTTTTGTCCATCGACAGATCTGGTTTGGGAACCACTGCGTTCTCGAAACACAGCACAGTGTTGTCAGATGGCTCTAGTGGTGGTCGATTTTGTGGGTCACGCACGTTCTGTTCCCCCAGGACAAAAATAAGTCAAATGCAGTTTAACCATTGCTTTTTTCTTGTCTGCGTTCCGAACGTAACGTTCTGGCAGAGAAAGTTGCCGTTTCATACTGCATGATCAAGTTTATATGGAAGTCCTTGCCCTGTCCATGCCTGTCAGTCAATACCAGAAGCAATAAAAGCCCAACGATTTGAATATTCTTCTCACTGACTTCGTACAGCCTAGTTATGAGAAGAAGACCAAGGTCAGGCATAGGGTTCGATAAGCGGGATGTCATTGGTAACGTTAGTGGCTGAATGCAGTTAGAGGAAATATTGATGCTTTGTAGTTGCCCTTTCGTCGGCGGATTACGCACTTCGATGATAACGGCCAGCTTGTGGCGACATAAACTATAACTTCACTTCCTCTGCTTGGTTTATCTCTTCTGGAGTGTCGACACGTTCTGAGCGATGTGTCGGATCCTGCAATATCTGCCGTAAGCCACGTTTCTAGGAAACTCATGGCGTCTGGTTCTATTTCATCAAAAAGTTTCCAAATCCGTTCATTATGTTGAACAAGCTTTGTAAATTTGCGATGATAACCTTCAGCGATTTTCTAATCCAGGAGGTCCGGTCCCAAATCGAAATCCAAATATGCCTTTTACCAACTAACTTCCGAATCTTCTAGAACATTTCCATGGGTACTCACTTTTCAAGGGAGAGGTAGTTTCTACTCATATAAGTGCCTTGATTTTTGTTGCCCCTCCGGCATCTAAAGAAAATTTGAAATGGAACCAAGCAGGTGCCCGAACGGCAACATTTATTGGCTGATCTTCCCAACTCGACTCTTTTCCGATAATACCCTGTAAACCTCTACAGGAACATATGGTTGTCCGTTATTACTACTTCCGCAAGACCCAGAAAGAAGGAATGAGAAATGTCGAAGATTCAGAAGAAGCCAAAAAACTGCTGAAAATGTGTGGTAAGCCATTAGCAGTAGGAACGAGAGCTCCAAGCTTATAATCCAACCATTTTTAACTTTTTGTAAGGAGTTTTTTTTCACCCCTCAATCATCATGTTTCTCAATGGACTACCAATTCAGAAACTATGAACTTCATTTTGTAGAGATTCGGCCTACCTCGTCTAAAACTCTCATGTAAATTTATTTTAACTTGCTTTGATGGGACCCCGACGGGTCTTTAATAAAAAATTACCTTTCTATCTAAATTATCTATCTATCTAAAACAAACTGAAACCACAAACGGCACTCCCCTTAAATTTCGATCATAATTTCAACGTGCCTTGAATATTTAAAATGTTCAGTAAACCGACCATCGTGAACGGCGATCACTTCTTTTCTTATGTAGGACGTCTACCTAAACAACACAAACAACATAAGGTAAAAATGGCGATATCAGTCCTTTCCCATTTATTACAAAAGTCCTGAACTGTGGCACTTGCAAGGAAAACCAGAGATGTGCATTTATGGCCTTGAAAACTAACGTTATTCTGAGAGACTGGAAACTTGATTTATTCTATTGCTCACGAGTGCAGCATTTTTTGGATAAGATCCAGGAAGACAAGACACATAATTTACCGGGAAA